GATTGAGACCATAAACTCATTTGGAAACTGTTTACTGAGCTAATAAGTATAAGTATCAAATAAGAAGTAATTTCTCTATAAGACTCAATACTATCAGACTTCTTTTTTGCAGTCCATGAAGCTGCTCCTTGCTGTACCTTAGAAAGAATGCAGGTTTAAGATATTTTTGTGTGGGCTTCACAGACCTAGAAGCTCTGTTCACTAATTATATTCTGTCAGTAGTTAAAGCTCAGTAATTAACACAATGTATCTTGTTTCCCCACCTGCCATTCTTAATGCTAAGCTTATTGCTTAATCGCAGACAGGAGAGAAACGAATATATTTTCCAAAATGTTGAACTATTCAATATTTTTATTGTTGCCATATTTGTCACGCTGTTGCATTGCTCTAGGTATAGCAAGATCATTTGGTTAGTCAACCACTTTGGTCCAGACTAATATATCTCTGCAACTATTAAATGAACTGTCATGATTGTTTAAAGTTCTGTTAAATGCAGCTTGACTAACCTGACATTTTCCGCTTGTTTCCCTGTGTCTGGATTGATGGCAGCAAACACTGTGATCACACCATCCTCAGGTTGTTCATTTGGATCCTCGGATACAGGAACATGCTTGATGTCAGGAATAAATGCTGGACCCTCAGGCATATTGTTCACTGCTATCTTAATGGGATAGCTTTTCTTCGGTGCTCCTGGCTTTGGCTTTGTCCCTGGTCCTGGTTTGACACCTGGTTTAAGGCCAACCCCAACTCCAGGGCCAGGGCCGAGCCCTGCCTCGGGCTTAAGTCCGGCATCCAACCCCACATCTACACCTAAATCCACTCCTGTATCCAAGCCTACATCCACGTCTACGTCTACGCCCGCACCTGCACCCGCACCCGCACCCGCACCCGCACCAGCTCCGGCTCCAGCTCCAGCTCCAGCACCTGCAGCAGCTCCAGTAGCCACAGGATTACCCTCTCCAACCTGAACATCTACATCCATGAGTATAGGACCACCCTCCACAAAAGGAGCTACATTCTCAATGAGCAGGCTAAGCTCAAGATTCTGAACTTCTTCAAAATCCACAGGCTGTTTGGTACAGGATGGAAGGTAAAGTAGTTGAAAGAGGGGACAGCAAGAGACAAGCAGCAAACAAATGTTAGGGACCTACCTGACACAGGTTGCAATACTATCATATTTAAAGCCAAATCACAAGTCTTAATACCTTAATCAGCATCAGGATGCCCTCATTGGTTTCTTTGTCCGTCTTAATCGAGAAGAGATTATCCTCATTTCCTTTGGCGATTGTAAAGACAGTGTGCCAGTTGTCTGTGTGTATGAGGTCTTTGTCCAGAGCTTTGATCCTCATCACAACTACATTGTGAACATTTTCATCCACTGAGCCAGTGTACTGTTAACAGAACAAGAATGCCCATAGTAAAAAAGTCCTACTGCCAGTTCTCTGCATCAGTTCTACACTCTTCTGTGCACACAACTTATGAATGATGGAAATAAACAACATCACACCCAGTGGTAGAGGTCAAAGGTCATAGAGCAGGACTTAGTGGATGGTCGGAGAGAGTTTTAAGGAGGCCAGATAATGATTATGATTTCTCCCCATATACGACCACCTGTTATCAGAATCACTTTTTTGTATTTTTACATACAATGAATTTGTACTAATTATCATGTGATCTAAGTCACATGATGACACCTGAGCTGGCTTTATTTACATGGCCATTTGAAAAGCAGAGGAAAGCTCAGACAGTTAGTTAATGGACCTTTGTCGTCCATTTACAGGTCCCATTATTGATAATAGGTATATTGAAGATGGGGTAAGTGATTCTAGAGAAATCCGATACCATGACAAATAACCGTAATATAGTGCAAACAATGTAAGTAATGTAGCTAATGTTAGCTATGTCGTGGCTTTGCATACTGTCACTAAAGTTGCAACTGTGAACATGCAAAGAAGATTAGACCATTTAAGCACATCTTGGCAAACTAGAAAGTAGTCTTGAATGTCTGTGGACACACAAATCCCGGCTGGTATAACAACTTGTGTGGTTTGCTCCGATCTAGTTTGTTTGTTTCCCATTTACTGAGCCAACTGTGCAACCACCAGATTTTTTATCAGTAGACACACGGACCATGAGAAGATATTTAAAAAGAAGTCAGATTGGAGTCGCATTATGTAAAATCACTAACCCTAAACAATTACCCTGCTGCGAGATTAAGGAAATAAGCACAAGTTGATTAATTTGTCACCTCTTCCCTGTCTTATTTCCTGATTTAGGTTCCTGAACTGTAACTGCAGTGTGTGTGTGTGTGTGTGTGTGTATGCTATATTCCCCACCTCAGCCTTTTCCAGAGTGGGGATGTTGTCATTTATGTCCAAGACCTTGATCTCCACAGTTCCTGTCCCCGATAGCCCATTTGCTGCCCCTCCCAGATCAACCCCCTGTATAACCAGTTTGTAGAAGTCATGAGTCTGTCAAACGAAAAACACAACAAACCAAAATGTGTTGACAAAAGCTCATCAGGTGAGGTTTCAACAACCTTGAATTTGAGTTTAAAAGAACACTTTGCTCCAAAACAAAGTCATAGTTCAAATTGTGTAAAAAGTGTGCACCTCTCTGTCCAGGGTGGCCTCCTTGACGTACAGTTTGCCTGTCTTTTGGTCTAAAGTGAACATGTGACCTGTGCCTGCTGGCTCTTGACTGATGATGCTGTAGGAGATCTCTGAATTTTCTGTGCCAGGTTTGTCATCATCTTTCCCCACAATCTGCATGACAAAGGTTCCTGCAGTGGATCAAAACAGGACAAGAGTGTCTCATTAGAATCCATCAAGTAAGACAGTTAGGGTTAGGGTAAGGGTTAGTCCTAGCGGAACTTGTTCACACATATACATCACCCATAACTTAGATCATATGCTTTGTAAATCAGCCATCTTGGATCCTTCTAGGGTTTGGAACTGTTTTATCATAAATGCGTCACAACTTTCTGTGCAAAGGTTGCCTGTTGTTTTTGTCCATGGCCTTCAGAGAGCACACTACTGTAGCAGCCTGATTGAGAAAATATTTCAAGTCCAGCAGTACCTTCTTTGCTTGCCTCTGAGATGTTGCCAGTATGCAGCTCAAAATAAGGAGGGTTGTCATTCTGGTCCACGATCATGACAGAGAGTGGGATGTCGTACTCAGCTGTGGTCCCATTCAAGTATTTGGCGACCCCTGTTATCTGTATGAATAACATGACGAGATTGGAAAGGGTTAGACAGTTTACTATTGACCTTTGTAATGTAAAGGAGTAAAAACAGCAACCCAGTTAGGCATTAATGGAATTATGACTCATCTCAATTGAGTGTCCCCTTACTAGATTTTCACCTAAACTTTCAGCCACCTGAGACTCCTCTAAACTCCTCTATCCTTTAAAAAGCTCTTCCTCTACCCTGAAGCCCCTCCTATCAGGCTAATTGATTGCATAACACACTGAAACTATTGCAGTTATCTTGGTTATTTAATTATTTGAATATGAATCAATTCGCATATGATTGGCTGTTACTAATCAACTGTTCAGTGGAGGCTATTTGCCTTAGTGCACATAGAATAAGCACATATGTTTGTTCATCTTGAACATATGAGCAGGTATAGTTGTAAGTTTAGGTCAGTTACCACTGAATCTGGAGCCTTAACAGAGATTAAACCTAGATAATTTTCAATACTGGATGGGACAGGACAGCCATCTTGCATAAAAATTTCTAGAAACACTCAATATACACTTATTCTAAATGTTTCCAACCGTATTCAAACCCAGAGAAATACGTCATTTTATTCAGGTGTTTCATTGGTCAGTGGAGTGATATCCCCTTTTGCATGCATCAGCGTCGTGGTTGTCTGCCAGAATGTGTAACCAAAAGTTGCACCCTAAGCAAGCTTTACTTTGAAATGTAACTGGATATTGCTTGACTGCAGAATGAGAACGTGTTAAAAATATGACACTGCCACGCCCAGGCGAGGCATAACATGACACTGCAACTGTGGACCAACATGTGTATTACACACGTTGGCATGATACCGGGTTGCAAAATATGTGGGAGGGGAAGCTTAGTGACATTCAATAAAGCCTTGTGACTGAAGGAAACTGAGCTGTGTTACTTAACTGAACCCATTTTCCCAATAGTCTTGAGCAGGTTTCAGTCCATACAGTACAGTGTAAAGCATGTAACATATTGAAAGACTTACATTGAAAGATGGATATGTTTCCCGGTCCACTAAATCAGTGATGCGTACGAACCCAGTGTTATGGTCCACCATAAACAGGTTGAAGGGTGGCTTGTCAGCTCCTGGTCCAGTGAGGAAATACTCTACCTTTGCGTATTGGTCTTTATCAGAGCGAATCTGAAAACAAAACACAGGCAAAACACTGTTATTGTACTGCTCGATTAGCACCATAAAAACCTCTTCAGCCGTTGCTATGGAGCAGACACAGCAAAAATCCTTCATTATTCCACTCAGGAAGAATCCCAGGATGTTCAGCAAAAACTGACTAAAATACAAAGTGTCCTATGAAACCTTGAAATTCAGTCCACTTTTAGCAGTACAGGAAGTTTGAGCTCACTGACATTTGTAGTGACAAGACAGCTAATTAACAACCCACTTTCCCTCCAAAGACAATGTCTCAGTCTTGTCATCTAACTCTTCAGAACATCAAATTATTAGTTTCTTCTTTAAAATAACGAAGGTTATGGCTCGCTGGCCTGACTACAGCAGAACGGGTGCCACTACACAAACTCTACACTAGAAAATGGTTAAATATTTTCAAGATGTGGTTATGTGTCTATGGCCTGGGTAAACAAAACCAAGACCACTGCGTTGGAAATGTGGAAGGGGGCTGCCTTTCTAATAACATACCTACTTAGGACTTAGCAGGGGTCAGCAGCCTTTACATTTAAAATAGCCATTTTTGGCCCTAAAAACCCCATCTGTCTGGAGCTGCAAAACATATTTGAGCCTTATAATCAAAATCTAGTTATTTGTTTATCTCATTTGGAACGTTCACAGCAAAAAACAGCACTTCTCTGGCAGTGTATGTCGGCTTTTATCCCAGGGCCAAATTTTCTATAATTGCACAGCAGCTGAGGAGTGGAACTGACTGAAGCGGTCTCTCTCCAACAAGTGGAAACGGGTTTGTCACTGCAGGGTTGGTGGAAGACAAGCTAATGATCAGGCAGAAACAAGTTTGTTGTTTGACATTTTTACTTGGAAGCTCATCCATCCAGGTACAGTTTTCTTATCATACTATGATGCCACCATATGCTTACAGTGGGAAATAATATTTACTTAAATCACCTTGGCAATGAATTCCCTCTTGGTGTAGTCAACATTCTCTTCAATCTTGGCAGGTGGAAGGATCCACTCTCTCTTCTTCCTTCTCAGGGTCTTTAGCCTCTTCTGCCTTGCCTCAGCACTGAGTATCTGAAACTAAACAGCAGACATACACTTGATTTAGCTTTAACGGAGCCTGTAATGAGCAGTACAGTGTGGCGTATGTGTACTTTAGAGACCAAATGCCAGCATAGTCTCTGGAAAACATGTTCCACACTGAAATAAAGGAAAAACTATTAGCTTCCTGACATGTATGTAAATATACTATTACTGAATTAGTTTTACTGATTAGATGGAACTGAATCTATGGATTAGAATACATGCTGTGGTGTTCAATCAACCATAGAGAAATAGTCGAATAGAATCTGATTTTGTAATTAGTATACAGTATAAATTATACTCTGTGAAACAATGAAATGCAACGTTGACACTGTTATCAGTTGCATTTAAATGTAATGTTTTAGTACTTAATGTACATATAGGTACTTGAAATACAGCTTCAATGTACTCATAATTGTTTAGCTATGTTTATATATCTACAGCATATAAACAAGTATAAACAAATATTTCTTTCATATTAAAGCAAAGGATAACAGCTGGTATAATTTATGTATTCACAAAGTATGTTAATTCATTCATAAATCTTAGTACTTAGAAAACATGAACGGTCCTATCTAGAGACATTGTTTGGTTTGTATAGCATATCATGTACACGCAAAGTTTCAAATATATATCATGAACACATTAAAGCTGCAGTTGGTACTAAAGAATAACTTTGACTTTTAATCTGCTGAATCTTTAACTCAATCCTGACAGTAGTACATGAGACAGATAATCTGTTCCTCTGCCTCCTCCTAGTGCTCCTAATGGGATTTACAAGAATCCACCAGGCCTGAACGGAAACCACCAATCAGAGGTGAGAAAGATGTGGGATTGTTGAGTCTCATTCCCAATGGGTCAAATGGGACTCAGACTTTCTTCAAGCCTCCAACCCAAAGCGTCTTTCTATCTTTCTCAGCTCTGATTGGTTGTTTTGTTCAGGTGCCATTATCAGTGCTAGAACAAGCCAAACAAACCTGATTTTTTCACACATCTCATATACTACTGTCAGAACACAAATTTCAGCGCTAATGACAAAAACTTATTTTTATAAAAGTTACTTACTGCAGCTTTAAGTACAATATTACTATATCGAAAATAGCTTTAGACTTTAAGTAGACTAATCATGAGTGTACATACAATAAAGTGTAATCTTGTGTGGTCTTTTTGAAGAGTGTGTGTGCTCTTTAAGGAAAAGAGAAAAGGAGGCCAGTGTGAGGTGTGGTCCGACTCCTGAACATGAATTGGTAGCAGACACACTGTGAAAAATGACATTCAGCACCTGTACACACTGTGATAATAAAACTGTGTTCTTGTGCCAGCACAAGGAACGGGTGAGAGCTGGGCCCCTGCCGTGACACGATTCCTTGTGTGTGTGTGCTAAAATCACCAGAACACTGGCATCTTTACGCTGTTGTTGTTGTTAGAGCTGCTTATGCTGTCATGTTCAATGGTCGGAGTCTCTATTGACAGCAGTAAAATGGTGCAATCAGTGGATAATGGCCAAATACAATATGTTCAACCAGGTAGTAAATGTTCTATTAGTTGCTTCATTTAACACTGCATGGGTGTGGTGATTGGATGTGGATGTAGTTGGTAGTGTGGAAGACTGAGTACTGTCAAATAACCCTGTAGACCGGGAGAATAAACTGAATAAACTGCAACAAAAGCAAGGAGGATACGCTATACAAAACAGTGAAAAAATATACAGATACTTCAAACTCTAAGTACATTGGTGGCAACGGCATCATCATGTAATGGTGAGACTCTGTGTGCTCCAACGGAATTTGAAATAAGGTTAGCGTTAGTTAACACTAATAGCCTGCAGGCGCTGGGAAGGGTCCTTTTCAACATAAATATCAACCCTTGTGTTCTCTGATATTTTTGAAGCCTACCGAGGAACCAGCATGATCATTATTGCATCATGTCAGTGAGAAAGGCTCTGGCTGAAATGTACCAGCAGACAATGACCCAGCTAATTCTCGCCAGTAGCGATGTGGTACCAACCAAGTGACAACCTCCTGGACTGACAAATGAAGCCAGTGCAGAATGGCTAAAAACTGCCGCCACTTGAGGCTGTCAGTCCTTATAAAAACTCCTGTGTTAAAATCCCTGTTTTTTCTTTTTCTTTTTTTCAAGACAAAAAAACCATGGTATTTCTGCCTCTGCATACATCTAGGCTAAACTCCAGTGGCGGCGCCAGAGACGGTCGCCACAGTCACATATGCATTACGTGGAGCTCCATGAGAGTTAGACATTAGAGTTAAATACAAGGCAAGATATTCAGCTCAAAGAATAGATGTGTATTCACGAGCGAGCCTATGCAAACACACCTCTGAATAAAAGTTCACACAGTTATGCCACAGACAGCGCTTGCACACAAGCAGAAAGTAAACATTTCAGCTTCAGATTCTGAGATCACAGTTACACACATCACTAATGAATCCACAGTACTCAGCACCATAAAGCTCATGTCATATGAATTAGCATCACAGAGAGAGAACTATAAGGAGTCATTCATTTTTCAGATTATGAATTATAGTATTCACACTTTACCAACTGAAAAAAACATAAACAAGCCACAGATATTTCTTGTGGGTGCAATAATTATTCATTATTATTCATCATTTCCCATAATTGTGGCTGTTGTCGTCATCATCATCTTCATCATCATCATCATTAGTCATTTGTACTAGTATTAGTTGTTGCTATTGTTGTTGTTGTGCATCTTTGTCTGTGTCTCTGTCCTCTCTTTACCACCTTCTTTCTTTGCCACTCTCACCAGGTTCTTGCTCATGGTGGGAACTGAGTCTCTTTGAATAATTTTATAAGGAGTACGGTCTAAACCTGCAACTTGAATTTAATTGAATTAAATTGTATTATGGCACTCCTAGGGGTATCTACAGCACCCCCAAGCCCCTCCCTGTCACTGCCGCCTATACTAAACAATGACATTCGTAAAGAGGAATGCACATAAAGACAGAAAATTATTGAGTGTGAAGAGACGGAGTGCAGTGTATGTGTAGCTGCGTTAGTAAAAGAATGTGATTTTTCACGTCAAATGAAATGTATTAGGCTATGACAATTATACCATCATGTTTTTTTCTTGTTGAGAAATCAATTAGGAAATGCACACAAGTTTATTCATCCAATATATCTTATTTTGTTTTTATGTGGATTTAGCCTGTATTTATCTATCAGGTAAAAGTTTCATGTAGATTAAACATGATTTTTAACAAAGACCTGGACAGAAGGGCAGAATAAAAACCATGTAATGTTCTGCTTCTTTAAGGTAATTATAGTTAACTAAAACTTGGTGTGAAAAAACATTTTAAAATAAAAATAAAAACTAGACTAGAAACTAGAAAAACATGAAAACTAAGTGAAACGATTTTGTGTACTTAAAAAACAAACAGATATAAAATAAAATATAATATACAGGAAATGTGTTTAGTTTTTGAGCACAGTACTCAGCTTTTACTGCAGCTAACATTCAGGCAGGTCTCAAAATAGCACCTGTGTGTGGTGTATTTCAGCAATCTGAAACAAGCTGACATAAGTTGTTGAGCAGCTTGTTAACGATCTCTGGCTGTTCACACACTGTAGTTAGAACACAAAAAGGTGATAATAAAACTATTTTTCAATGCACTGCTTGATGACTTACTACTGCTCTATGACTGCTTGTACCATTAAACATTTGTCATGATCAGTTATTACATTTGATAAAGCACAATCCACACCACTTGAAGATCAGATCCCTCTCCTGTAACAGCAGATTTACTCCTGGCCTGCAGCATGTCCCTGTGTGTCAAGGTGAAAGTGTAGCTTCAGGGTGGTTTACTCACCAAGGCCAGCGCTAACAGAAGCAGCAGGCCCACTTCTGCAAGGGAGAGCCGCAACATGATCACAGGGGAGCTGCAGCATATACCAGCCTGTCCTGTCCCCAATTCAGGTGGTCCAGCCTTAAATAGGTCTTCTTAAAGACACACCTATATCAGCCTCTTCCCCCCTCCTCCCATCACACATACAACCACTCCTGGATATGCTGCCCCCACTCCCCCTTGCCCCTCCCTGCTTCATGTATGCTCTCTTCAGCTGTCATATGTATGCATGTTTCTCCAAGGTGTGTCTGCTACACTAGGCCCTCAGGGTAGAACACTAATCAAGCTGATTAGATCAGAAAGCACACTCTAAAAAAACTTTCTTAAACTACTGCTTCTTAAAGCATTCAGGAAATGATCTACTGCTGTTTTTCTGACAATATCTTTATGCTTCTATAGAGAACACTGTACTGCAGGAAGAGTAGGTTCTACCATATTATAGCATATTAAAGGTCCAGTGTGTAAAATTGAGGAGGATCTTTTGTCAGGAATGGAATATAATATTCATAGCTATGTTTTCATCAGTGCATAATCACCTGAATATAGGAATCACTGTGTTTTTGTTAACTTAGAATGAGCTGTTTGTGGTCGCCTTCCTTGGAGTCCGCCATGTTGAAC